AAAAGTTATATGTGTTTTTTTATATTGTATTATATTTTTATTTAAAATTTATATATAAATTTTTTTTAAAAAAATTAAATTTATTAAAAATAAACAAAAAATAACTTAGTATAATTTCAACAGTAAAATACTACTAAACTCTTAAACATATTTTTATTTTTGTTATTTTTGTTCAAAAATTTAGAAAATGAGAAACGGAAAAACCGGAAAAGAAAGGAAAAGCAACGGTGAGGACAGTCCCGCAAAAATTACTCGGGGAGACAGCTGTCCAGAGATCTTTCAGGCCATGGCCATACCCCAACCCACACCCACACCACCAAACTCACGTCCCACGCGCACCTAACCCTGTCCTTTAGCCGTACCACCACGTTTCCATATGAGCCCTCACGTGAGTTAACCCACCGTACCTGTGCGTCTCACATGAATTCCTCATCTCCATAACATTAAAAGGTTTAAACCTAATCTTAATTAGTTTTATTACAAGATTATATATATTTGATGCTAATAAAATAATTCCGTGGTAATTTTTTTATTAGAAATGAAAAATCTTGAATTTTAATAATATGACACGTGGATGGGATAAGATGAGATAAAAGACAAAAAAAATTTATTTCTCATTATGCAATTAATATAATATATATATATATTTGACTATAATTTACACCATTTAAGATAATTAATTAGGAGATGAGTAAAAATGGACTCAAGGGCTTTTTAACTATTAAATTAAAAACAAACAAAAAATTTTCAATTTTCCTCCCAAATTCCTCACAATTAGTATGAAATTCAAAACTCAACTTTTAATTCATTCATCAGATGCTTATATCTGTAGTTGGACTTCAAAGGGAGAAACGGCAAGGGCATGGAGGACAAAGAAAGAAAAGCTGGCCGGGTACATACGATAATGGAGTGCCCGGCCTTTATACGAACAACATTTCTATGCATAGGATTCTCGTAATTTAAGCTCAATGAAAGTACATGTGGGAGGGGGTTAGGTTTTTTTTGGGGACAAAGGATGCATGGCAGTGTCAGTCCTTTTAAAATGTTGGTTTTGTTGTAAGTACACCGAAATACGGATCAAATCTAGAGATTTAAAAACGAATTAAAGATATATGATCGAGCTTTTAATGTGGAATAAGGCACATGGGGGGCAGAAAGGCGGAGGATGTTTCCTCGAAATGGAACCCTTTGATCTAAAACTATTGCTTTTATGCAAGTTGGGGAAGGTATTATAGAAGGAGTTGCATTAAAAATAAGAAGCGGAAAGATTGCATGGTTGAAGGGGGAAGAATAATAAAAGGTTTATATAGCTGGGCTAAATTAAAAGGTTAAGGGTGCATAGATTCTCTCACATGAAGTACATAGATATATATGCTCTTTGGTTAATAATTAAAGGAGATAAAGATGTCATGATACTATAGTTTTTTTGTAGTCAGTAGTGCAGTGAATCATTGGCTATATAGAAACATCATATGGTCTTTAAAGTACTCCAATTAATGAAAGAGGGTATTGAGATGCATATTCATTTGTGACTTTATTCGATTACAAAAAAAAAAAAAAAAATGGTACGAAGATGGGAGTGGGAAAGGGGGGACTTAGGAAACCTAGCTAGTATAAAGGGGAAGAGGCATGATTTGCGAGGTTCAAACTTAGGATTTAAGGTAATTAACCACTCCTTTATTTGATATATAAACACAAGTAATATATTGCCTTATTTGTAAAGCATTTTGAATGCAAGATTAAAATATTATGTGGTTTTTAAATTTTACAAATAGAAGTGCATTAATTAGTGTCATTTATAAAAATCGAACTCTTTACCAAATGCTTAAAAGCCATGCACTCTATCAATTAAGTTAAGATGATTAATTTTATTATTTCTCAAATTATCTTTTTGACATACACATCTAATTATCTAATTTAAGAGCTAACTAGGCTAGATTTTGCTTTATAGCTTAGAAGAAAGCATATAAAACTCTCTTGCCATGACTCTATTCGTATAAGAGTAAGATTATTATTCGGATTTCAAGTGCTTTTACTTTTATCTTTTGATTCAAATTCAAGTATAGGCTCTTTCTGGTCAGGTCAGGGTGGATATATGTTCTGCGGACAGGATGTCATTAATGCAGGACAACTAAGAACAAATCTTCTTTATTAACCTTTTTAGCTAGGTTCTTTTCCTTTTAAACAAACACCTCCCTAGATAAGTTCAAGAAGTAAAACCGCCATATTATCAGCCAGCTAATCCTAATTTTCTTAGCTTATAACGAGCAAATAAAAAATTAAGGATGTATATGTTCAAAAAAAAATTAAGGATGTATATTCATTTCTTTTTCAACCCAAAAAGTAAAGAGTTAATTAAACTTAAACCCCTTTTCAATCAAGCGTAAAGCACACAAAGAGAAAAAACGAAAGAAAACGTGCCTTTTGACCCCAAAAAATGATTGATCTTATAGCTGTTATGTACCCCTTTGGCCTCTCTCCTCTCTCTCCTGAATTATTGATGTTTTAGATATGGACAAAACAAACCCACAAACCAAAAAAATAAAATCAAAAGCCTAATTTCGTACTTTCGTCCTCTCCAAGCTGGGTGGTTGCGCGGCAGTAGGACCCACCCAAAACCTACGTGGACGTGTAGAATGATGACTAAACGCTCCGACAGCGCATATCTTAATCGTGACGTGTTTTGCCACGTTTGATTGGTTACGGTGGGACCTCCGGGGAAGTGGTTTTGTCGTTTTGAGTGACGTGGCAACATTCTACTGCCCCATTAACGGACCTAACCGCAAGGGATTTGAAAAGCCGGTGCCACGTTGGTAGGTGCCAGCTAGAAGGCACTAATAACGAGTTCCAAAGAGAATCATGCCATTGGGATTCGGGTAAAGTGGGGTCCGAATTTTCATGATTTTCCGCTGC